AATTGTGCTGTAGGCTTCTTGGCGGGGTGTTGTAGTACTGTCGTCCCTGGTGCGATCCCAGACTATGACGAAGTCATCTTTCACCCTCAAAGTTTAAAAAGCTTCGAATAAGCCTCGCCTTCTCTACCGCCTCGTTCAGAACCTCGCTGCATCTTTCGTGTGATCAAATGGAATCCCAGTGTCAGCAGACCCGCGACGACCGACTATTAATCTACGCACGGCTTGTTCAGGTGCCACCTTGCGCCGAATCTCATAGACTATGTCTGGACGACGTCCTGATCATCCATCACAAATTTGTGTCCTTTTTTGCCGAAGAAGACAGGCGTCGGGTATCAGAAGCACCTGGTCATATTTTGCTCCTTTTCCCATTTACGGCTAACTTGCAAGAGATAGCGGCTATGGCCGCTTGGTTGGCGTATACTTCGACCATTCTCGATCGGCTGACTGAATTGAGGAATGATGTTGCACTTCGGGTGGTTCTCAAGTGCTGGCAGTGTTTCAGTCTTGTTGACGACGGAGAAACCCCAACAACGCCTTGGGCCAGTATCAACGAGACCGGCCTCATTAACATCTCGGGTCCAACAGAAGCATTGAGAGTACACTTACAGTTCCTTCTGCCTTCGGAGACTAGCCCGGTTGTCTTTCACCATATTCGCGTCATCCTCATGAGTATAGTCTACGAAAACTTTTGCAAGCAAGTCAACACCTACGAGCCTGAGCACCGGTTGATTATTCACGGCAAAACTGTCGGCCTAGAGGTATACATGGCAATTCTGGGTCTAGAGATCGACGAAAAGGCTTCAAATGAATCGGAGTATCTAGTCAATCACTTACAGACCATTGTTGGAGTGGGCATTAGCCTGCAAAAGGACCTCATTCATTTGCCCCAAGAACTGAAACAGGGTGGGACGGCAAACTTCATCATCCTAAAGCACTTACGAGAGAGAGGCCGAAAACTAACAAGTGGAGGAAACAATGTACACGATTATGTCAAAGCAATTCTGGACACGGTTAAAAGTCATAATCAACTGCACGACTGGGCATTCGAAAGCTACAAACAGGTCAGGAAGAGTGGGAGAAGAAAAGATATTCTCCAAGCTCGCACGTTGTATCACTTACTAGGAGCACATTGGCGATGGAGATGCAAAATCGAAGGCTACGAACAGTGTTAGGAAAGGGAAAAGATGTCGTAGCATTCAGCATGTGCAGTTTGGTGGTCCTGGGAGCACAATACAACTTACTTCGGGGCTCAGTTTAGAAAACCGGTGATGAAAATAGATGAGACCAGCACAGAAGACCATACGTCCGCTACATAGCTCCGTATCAAAGGACCATATCCGAAACATTTGGATCCACTTCCCTCTTCATCGTCAAAGGGAGCCACCTAGCCCCTTAATACCGCAAAGTGGGGAACCGTGTTACTTTCAGAGCATGAAGAAGAACGCTACTGTATCCAAATATTGCATTTGGGAGCAGGGTTATGTTCATATTGACGGCAATAGTGATTCTGTACTGTACACACAAACACGCATATACACCCGCTTATATAAGTCGCGACGATAGAATTAATCTCTCTCTGAAGTAGACATACAAAGCATTAGCCCCACTACCAACCAAACCGCAACTGCGAACTACGAGTACCTACCTACCTACCTACCTACATACAAGGATCTCTAATTATCAACAGAATCTTTGAGACGTGGCTCCCCCTTTTGTGAAAAATAAAAATGAAATGGTCCCAGAACATCCTGTACGACTGCTCCTTTTCGTCGTCTAAAGCGCTCTACACCAGTCGTTGGTGGAACTGGGGCTGGTTGAAGCACCACGATATGTGCACAAACCGCTATTGTCCGTGGAGGTATCGCTTTCCTCGGTATCATGTCTACGACACCGACGTCCAAGGCGCGAGGTTTGGGTATATTGTTGTACTTAATGACGGAGGGGAGGATAGGCTATGGAGGGAAGCCAGAGGGCGAGCGTAGTGAAACCAGACAAGAGCGAAAAACGCCGCTGGGCTGGATCACAGCGTCATTTACACCTAGACTCATGGGTAGGTACTGTATGTAGGTAGTGCGTGTCTTTATTGGCAAGGTTGACGAATTTCGACATTTCGAGACCGACGAATAAAACTCCGGCTACACTGGATTCCAGGCCATGCAGGCATTGAAGGGAACAGTTGAAATCCCAGATCACGTGCAGCTGCCTAATAGGCTGCTGTAGGCAACTATAGCTACCTACCCTATAAAATCACCTAGGTGCCCAGTTAGTTATAACGGTCAAGCCTGTTACAACAATTTCAACTGGAAAGAACTCGCCGACCGGCTCGCAAAGCAAGCAGTCATGTCTGAGAAGCACCACCGCCTTGGCCGCCTCATATCAACAGCCAAAAGAACAGCACGCACAAAAATCCAAGGAGAATGGCAAGAAGACTAGAGAGACCGCCCTAAAGGCCAGCGTTTGAAAAGAATCGACAAAGACTTACCGGCCACGCGAGCCTTCTGCCTTTACAGTCAACTCATACGACACCGGACCTAAAAGCGTGCTTTCAGGCTGCCCTCGAAGCTTCACAGCAGGAGTCTTTTCTCAAGAGATGCAGCGAGTCACATCCATGTCCTACTGCAGCGGAAGTTAGCAAGGTGGACTCGGGGGGTGACGAAGACGAACATCAAAGAGAATGTGTGGTCATGTAAGTAACTTGCAGACGTGGCTATGCCGTAGTTTGAACTTTGGGAGCCTAATATTCGCTCATCGCGCTTCGTTGACCTTAGTATTGGACACGGCAACTAGTTTCATAGCAACAGCGGTGATGCGAAATTGAGATCACCTGAAGCAACAGACATCGGGACTATTTATTCACCCCATGTGCCTGAAGGTTTGTCGGCAATGCTTGTCGCCAAGATAGACCATTACTGTCGTCGGGATGTAAAGATAGGACCGGAGAGTACTGGCAGCCATTTCGACTGAAAGCGTGTCTCCGTACACCGTGGGACCCGTTCCGGTCCATAGTTAGGAAGTGATGACAACACAGCAAAAGGTAGCTCCAACCAAGAGCTTGCTTCGCCGATGAAGCCTTCATTCCAAACGTCCTCTGGATTTTCTCTCCGCGTTCGAAGTTCCTTTTGGCATTTGAGATGAGCGACGAATACAGTCAAGAAGACAAAACGCATTGGAGTGCCGCTCGCTTGGCGAGCATAGACCAGAATCAGCTTGCCATATTCTGACAGCGCTATGAAGCTCAAAAATACCGCAAGAGCAGCAACGACAGAGCATGGTACTGGACGACCACTGCCGTGCCGTAAGGAGCTTCATGGAGGGATCAAACTTCGGACCACACCCCGCTCCCTAAACTCGAGCCACTCGCTTGTCAGACAGTCGTCGGGCCGCCGGGATTGTATTTCCTCGATATGGCCCATGAATCCTGAGCGACCAAGCAATACTGCTTGTCGGTTATCTGCTGAGCATCTCCGAGGCGCGGACCAAGCGCGGAAAAATTATCCACGCGATATTCGTTTCTCCGCGCGGTCGTTGCCCAATCACTCTGCTTGGAATATAAAATCCGAGCATCGCAGCCTATCAATTGGACTCATCTTGAAATTGCTACCATCCACCCCATCCTACCATGATTTCCTTTCCAGCAATTAGGAGGATAACTTTCCTCAAGACCTTTTACTCGACTGCTTACCCCTTGATTCTACGAACTCCGACTACGACTATGACCACCTCCTATGACGACTGGCTTCGCCGTCAAGCCTAAACAAGCCTAAACATTGGTTATGAACCCAGACACAAGCGCGCTACAGTCGCAGTTCAACGACTTGAGCATGTGGCCGCTTCTGATGTCAGTCGAGCCGCAACTTCAACAGATCCTGGAGTTTGACGATTGCTGTGCGCTGGACAAGCTGGGATCTTTTCTCACCAGCCTACGCAATTTGTCCAGCCACAAGACCTACATAACGTGTCATCTTCTTCGCCTGGGTCAAAGCCTTCCCAATCACCACTGAATCCGTCATTGAGGACTGCAGTCCTGTTCGTACTGTCGTATTTACCAATCGCCGATGACGTGACGGTAACTATTTCCGTCTACCGTCATCAAGCTCGTTAGTCGCTCAGCTGGGTTCACTTAGCCATACGAGTGGTCGGGTTAACCTTTTATCCCCTCAACATTCAGTTTGACTTTCTCACTCTTCGACTAGATCACAGCGGCGCAGCGCCTAGTATCAACGTTGAAACCCAGGTCGACAAGTCATTGTGGAGGGAAGTATGCCGTCCTTTCAAAGTCTCATCATGTAACCTGGTCTACGGTCCCGGATACCACGTAATATTGGCCTCACAGGTTTCTCTATGCGCTCTTGGAATAACCCCTACCTTAGACGATGCCTTTACACAGCTATGAGGCTCAGAATCTTCCAGATCGAGTTGCCTCCCCCGGGAGAAATGCTTCCAGGAAGCGCATTCCACACGCTTGCGATCGTTGTCGACTATCGCGATCCAAATGCTCAGGAGGCAAACGATGCTCGAATTGCTCCAAACACAGTACAGTCTGCACATACGGCGACCGCAAACGGGAACAGAACCAGAAGTAGGCTTGAATTTCTGTCTCTTGGGCTTAAGTTAGGGAAACTAACTTAATTGTTCTCGGGTAGAAATTCAGACCGCGTGGCCTCATTAGAGAAGCAGAACAAGATATTGTTGGATACGCTCGATACCATAACAGAAAAACAAGTCTATCAGCAGTCCGGAAATCTGAAGGATTCACATGATGATACGTTGAAGGTACAGGAATAGCCAATCCATCAAAGCGTACAAAAGTTCGCTGCTGACAATGTACTTGCCTCAAGACACAAGATCAATCTACCAAACTGGAATTTGAGCTGCTTAGATGGTCTCAGAACGGTAGGTCGAGGTCTTCCTCTGACAAGTCATTCTGCTCAATCGCAGGAGAAGGCTCGAATGCAAATCATTCAAGCACCGTAGAGTCGCGTGTTGGCTCGCTCGGTGTTATGGGAGAACTTTCGAGGAAGGTAAGTCTGGCCCAGGGGGAAGGAGCTTTCGGACTCGTGGGGAACATGTCGGAGGTGGCGTGGATCGACCAGGCCTTCGGTGTCGTCCGTGGGAGGCCCGGCGCAACGCGACCGAGGCTGTCAACGTCTGGAGTCTTGGACCCTCACGCCTTCTCGGCAACGAATTTCATCTACTTCGTGGATGATGACGAAGTACTGACCGTCAACGAGGACCCGATCGACCCGTATCAAAGACCTTCCTTTTCCAGGTCCCTGGTATTGACCGAGGCATACTTCCACGCTCTTCAGGACGCTTTTCCCTTTGTTGTTCACGATGACTTCCTGAGCAACTTATTCAACGTGTCTACGCAGCATTCTTGGACAGGACGGAGGTTGTTGGCAAAAGCCAACATGATGTGGGCCATTGGATCGAAATGGCTCGAGATGACTGGCATGAACGGTGAAGCCCCTAGGGACACTCACCAGCACTATTATGCCAGGGCCCGAGCTCTAGGTCTTGATCATAGGGCGGTCTTTGATCATCCGAATATCGATCAGGTGCAGGGAATGGGACTACTCGTGCTCTATCTACTTTTCAATGGCTCTGTTACCAGGTAAGAAGATTGTATCCATCCAATGCTGGTACCAAGGACAACCTTAGCAGATCTTGCGGCTTACTCGAGTCACTACTACTAGAGCCTGGATCACGCTGGGATGCGCCACGCGACACGCCACCGCGTTGGGGTTGCATCTACGAGTGACCGATCCCAGTGTCAGTGACGAAGACCTCCGGAGTCGTGCGCGCACCTGGTATTCACTCTACAGCCTCGAAGTTCTGATTTCTGAGATCACCGGGCGGCCCAAGTCCATGTCGGTATCGGATGTTACAGTCCCGATAGATCTCCTCGAACGTGGCAATCTCGACTACTCTCCCCCATCGCCAGTCACCTCGCAGATTGGAGACTCCATCCTGCTGGAAATCTCCAGAAAGACGTGGCTGGAACATCTGGATCTCATGCAAAACACATCATCCCTTGAGGTGAAGGTCGGCGAGCTTGGGCAAGAAGCTGCTTCTCCCGACTACGCCATTCCGAACGCCTACCTCCCTCAGCGATTGTGCCTATGTCTATTGAGCGACAAAATTGCGCGTCAATTGTACAGCGGCACCAACGATGACACCTGGGTCGGTCTCCAACGTAAGATTCATGGTCTGGAAGACGAAATGCAGCATTGGTTCGAGAATCTTCCCGAGAACTTGTACTTGGTATCCCGAGGACGTCAATCCAGAAACTTGCGCGCTCGAATCGAGCTGGCCATGTACTACCGTAGCCTACAGATGATTCTATACCGGCCGTGCCTGTGTGCAAACAGCGTCGAGGTCGAAGCCGTCGAGTCGCGCGAGTTCAACCACCGTTCAGCTCGGGCCTGTGTCCTTGGCGCCATGTCGATGCTGGCTCTGTTGCCTGACGACCCGACCATCACGGAGATCTACCGACGGCTGCCCTGGTGGTCGTTGCTGCATTTCGTGGCGCAGGCGAGCGCCGTGTTGCACCTGGAGCTGGCCATTGACGCCCAACATTTTGAGGGCGAGGTGAACCAGCTTGTCGAGTCTGTCACAAAGGCCATGCAGTATTTGCACTGCATGGCCGGAGCATCACTGTCGGCGTACCGGGCATGGAACATTTTTCGGACCTTGTTGACCGAGGTGTCTCGTCGCTACCACAACATGGATTTGAGTGGTGTGGCTCAAGACGCGCCGCGGCCTCCCGGCTGGACAGAAGAGCTTGACAAAGTAGTCAGTGGGTATTGACTTCTGTTACTTGTTAAATAAAAGTTACTCTCACCGATCTCACCGTCACAGTACAAAACAACTACACTCACACCAGACGGAATTTTGAAATAGATGGCCGCAGGTAGGCAATAGGCCCGAACATATCAACGAGATGGCGACATATCTCACGGGAGCATATAACCAGTTACTGGCTGCGCGGATTGAGGCAGGCCCGACCAGATACATCGAATCTGCCCTGGTGCTCATTGGCAAGGTGTTGCTGCAGCCGTACGTGGGCGAGGTGCTCCATCGCATCCAAGACGAGGTGAAAGATATCCAGTCGCGTGTGGAGGCTCACTGTGTGGCCCTCACTCGCTCTCTCCAAGGTGTAAAAGAACAGCATTACTAACCACCTCTACAACGCGAACAATGCTCAAATTTTCAACCTATCTTCAAGTCGACCCCGCCCCTACTACATCACAGAAGTGAGTCTTCAATACTTCCCACTGGTATGGAAGATGTTTCGACCTGTCTTTGGGTGGCCGAAAAGTCATGCTCAACTCGCCGACTTTGACGACTCCGACTTCATACGCCGAGCCTCGGAGGGTCTTCAGTGGATGAAACAATCTCAACTCCTCACCAATGACTCCTTGTACATGGACAGGAAACGCCCTTGCTTTGTACAAGCCTCGCCAGCCGAACGGCCAAGTGTACGCTGTGATGCGACCGTGAGGACTCTGTTTACTTACAACCAACTTGCTGGTCTACGAGCTTTACGTTACTTATCACGAGCCAATGGAGACCTATCCATTCTAAGTTAGGGCCACGGAATGATACGAGATTTGGTCACGGCCGCCTACAACGGGAGATTGGGATGGAATGGCATCATACAGGACCACTGCGACCGTTTCAGTAATTGCACGCACAAGACATTGAAATCTTCAAAGGGCTTCCATTTCTCGATATCAAGGATTTTTGTGAAGTACTGGACTATGTGGGACCAGATATTAAAGACTCCCGTCGCAAGCATTGCTCAAGTTATCGGTTGTGGATTAGACGGAATGCAGCTATTTCCTATGGAACAGTCGATCAACTTGGAGATTTTGGCTCCTACTGGGGTCCGGACTCTTTGAACCACGTCGAGCAGATTCGATCTATCGAAACACAAGTTGCAGGATTATCTGGTATACTCGTTTCGGCGTGGTTCGAGAGGATCTTCTGACTGGGAGCACACTATACCATTTTCCTTGGGACTTTAGGTGTGCTGTTCTAAGCCAGGCTCACTAGGCTGTTCGATCATTTTGGTCTGCTTCAGTATCGCAATCTATCAGCCACCACCTCCAAATCCTTATCCCCTTTCCCGTCGAGACATATGACTAACGTCTCTTCCAGTTTCATGGTGCTGGCCATCTTCATGCCGGCCCATATAGCATGACTCGTTTCCAAAGAAGGAAGGATCCCTTCTAGTTGTGCCATTGTTTGGAATGCGACAAGCGCCTGCGCGTCTGTGACCGTGACGAAGCTAGCCCTGGCACTGTCTTTCCAGTGTGCCAATTCCGGTCCCACTGCCGGACAGTCCAGCCCGGCCGCGATCGAAGACGAATTGTTGATTTGCCCATGCTCATCCTGTATGAGGTATGTCATTGCACCGTGGTAGACGCCGACCGCACCACTACCCAAGGCCGCAGAGTGCCTGTCCGTGTCGATGCCATGGCCGGCAGCTTCGACGCCGATGAGATTCACGTCCGAATCCGACCTGAACGGAAAGAACATGCCAACACTGTTGGATGCTCCGACACAAGCGACCACTGCACAAGGCAAGCGACCAGTGAGGTCTCTTATTTGATCTTTGGTCTCTTGCCCGATTATGCTCTGAAACGTGCGCACCATGATCGGGTATGGGTGAGGTCCAATACTAGATCCCGTCGCGTAGAAGGACCTATCCAGGTCGTGAATGCTGGCTCTTAAAGCTTCGTTCATGGCATCGCGCAGCGCACCAGCACATCGGCCGACGACCACGACTTCTGCGCCCAGAATCTTCATGTCAACCACATTCACGCTTTGTCGTCGCGCATCTGTAACACCCATATAGACAGTGCATTCAAGCGTGAGCTTCGAACATATAGCGGCCATTGCAACACCGTGCTGTCCGGATCCCGTCTGCGTGATCACACGCCTTTTTCCTAGCCTTCGAGCCAACAAGGCCTGACCCAGGGCATTGTTGATGGCCGAGCTTCCCGTATGGTTGAGATCTTCTCGCTTGAGGTATATCTGTGCACCGCCCACGTGTTGACTGAGTCTATTGGCTTGATAAAGCGGTGAAGGTCGACCCATGTACGGGGATAAATTCCTCCATTCCTTCCAGAAATCGGGGTCCGCTTTGGCTTGTACGAATGCTTCGTCAAGTTCGATCAAGGACTCTTTCAGTGCTTCTGGAACATATTGCCCACCAATTGGCCAAACCGGCCAAACCGGCCTGACGCTTCGCCTGTACGATTCTCATTCAAGTTCGATTCGTCCGACTCGAGATATGGCATATTATCGTTGTCCTCCATTGGATTACGAGGGTGAAGTGAGGATAAGTTGTGTTGTTGATATGTCTTGGTGATAGTTATAGTTCCACACAGTCCGAATAGATCATGTTCGTTACAGCCAGACTGAAGTTACAAAAGTGCGATGAAGGCTTCAACCAGGTACAGTACGGGAAGGTGTCGGAATCATGGTAGGTGTCGAGCGCCCAACGACATGGTGTGGCTGTGGCCTGCGTTGGAAGGATGAAAAGAATTTAACGAGGAATAAGATACAGAGTGATATATATTGGGCTGTCTGTGCCTTGTCCTTGTCCTTACATGATACACTACTCTGCCATCCAAACCTGTTGTCGTTCTTCTCCCTTTCCCGGATGCTGTCCAACTGATCGAAGTCAAAGCGCTCGTTCCCCCGTTGCGCTAATATGAAGATCCCCCGAGTCGTCAATAGGGCCCCCGTTCATGACCTTAGAGAACCTAGTCGAGTTTAGCCAAGGCCTCGGGTGCCGTTTGCCCTTGCAGCACATGCGGCCAGACATTCATGCGGGCCGGAGTTAGCCCCAGTCCCTGGATCCGGCACCTTTCCTTCGATATCACTGATGTTGACTCCTCCGCCCATGATGGTACCAGAGATATTCTGCGGAAGACTGAAGAAGGAGTTAGCCACGTTCAGAGTGCCGGTGTCGTCACTATTCAAGGCCGAGATGAGCTGGGCGTTGTCACACCCAATGTTCATCATTGTATGGATGGACCCTTCTGGGAAGATGGTCATCTGACCAGACCGGAGAGTGGCTTGAACCGTTCGAGCGCCATTTTCATTGATCATGTAGGTTTGAGTGGTGCCTGAGATCGCTACCACAAAATTGGCTCCGCGTGGATGAAGATGAGGTGGAAGCATCGCGCAAGGACCGAGATTAAGCACTGCCTGTATATTCCATCAGACACGAGGTCGACCACGATGTCGTCATCCAACTGAGTGCTTACCAGCGTCAAACCGAGGCCGACAGTTGCAGGGAAGGTCGCCGCGTTGGCATTGATCACTCCACCGGGCGAAAAGGTGTATTTATCCTGCTTGGTAAAATCGAAAACCCAGTCCTCGTCCTTGGGAAGGAGTTTCAATCGATCCAGATTCGTATTGGCAAGCCGGAGCTTGGCGACAAGACTCGGGTCTTTGTCCTTGTCCACGGCCAGTGCCAAGGAGGCAAGGACAGCCAAAACAATGAAGCCGAGTCCAAAAAATGCCATGATGTAGGGTCTGCGATCCCCCAAGCTCTGCAATCGAGAATGACGAGGTGTCTCGGACTGGGTTGGGTTTGACTTCTGAGACGGGGAGGGTACGGATTGCTCGGTGTTGTATCGATGAGACTTCTCCAAAGCGGCCTTTTTGCCTTCTTCCGAAAGGTCGTCGAAGCGAACAATGGTGTTCTTGTCCAGTTGAGCAGCTTTCCTGGTTCTGCCCTTCGAGGACTGAGATCTTGATATGACCTTGGGGAAAGTGGTCGGAGTCACCATGTTCGGCGTCAGTTAATATAGTGGTAGCTGAAGGGCAAAGCAATAATATAGTACGAGGTCATTAACCGCCATCACTGGACTGTATACTGCCCGCTGCTCGGTCGGATCTGCTTGTGGATCTCTCAGTCACCAGCTGAATTCCAAATCAATACGAGATCCACCGGATGGAGGGATAATAGCCCTTGTGAGAGTATTTGTCATATTGAGCGTAGGAGGCCACTGTGGCCACAGCCCCTGCTCCAGAAGCACTTTCACTGGGTCCCAGAAATTGCCCCAGATAAACCTATACGTGCATCTCACACATGAAGCCATCAGTACCGCGTATGAACTGGGTCGGACACCATTAATTGCAGCGTTCCACGCCCTTCTCGAAATCTAATGAAACTGTCGCGGTCCGGTACCCACCCTGTCGACCACGGTGCTGACCGCAGCTATATTACCGCAGTCTGCAGTCAAAATCTCGGCCTACTTCACATTGTCTTGTTGTGTCGATGTTGTCTAACAGCAACTACCAAGGTGCGATATAACATGTCTACCTCTAAAGATGGCTATCTCCTATCCCGCAACTTCAACGCCTCATCCAGGTTGACCGCCCAACACCTCCTCATTTGTCGAAGGACGGCATCCTTACTTGACTCTCGTATTGCAGTTGGCGAGACAGGAGACCCGGGGCGTCCGTTGGTAATTGCGGACATTGGATGTGGAAACGGTATATGGACCATCGAATTGTCACAATCCAGCAACTGTCAGGTTGTGGGGCTGGACAGCTCGTCAGAACTATTTCCACCCGATGACATATGGCCCCGCAACTGTACTTTCGACACCTTCAACGTCCTCGCTCCAGTGGAGAGAAAGTACATTGGGGTATTTGATATCATCAACATTCGATTGTTAGCGGGTGGCCTGGGCCGTAGGGACTATGATCGAGTCCTCGCCAATTTGAAGCTCATGCTACGCGAGGGTGGATGGCTGCAGTGGCTTGACATTACGCCGCCATACATCCTCACCTATGCAAGAGAGGCTAGTCAAACCTTACCTGTTTCGATTGGCTGCGAAATGCCACGAGTCGTCCAGTCATTGGGATGGCTAGGTCACTTACCGGACTTGCTGAAAGAGACGGGCTTTACACGGGTGGAAAGCAGCAGAACTCAACCACAGGGCGCCCTTCTCAAGCATGAGACCAACAATGTTCTACTAGCATTGTCAGAGATACGCGATCATCTTCGTCACTGCCCCGATCGCGTGGGCGGATTTGAACGAGCTTTTGACGAGGTCTGCAACTTTGTCGTCGAAGGAGGATTGGTGGCCGTAGCTCTCTGTACTACTATTGCTCAGAAGCCTCGGACGTGAGGACATATTCTCTGTATATCACGTAATTGGAGGATGCTGTTGACGTCAAATTTCCTAATTGGCTGAAAAAGGTGATTGTTGTTGTGATATGAGGCTCAACCGACTATCATGGCATGGACAAAAGCCTTGTGGAATGATTCCGCATGCTTGGAAATTGTAAGGAAGCTTCTAGTATGTTACTTTGATGTATATATACTTCTACTTCCCGAGGAAGTAGAAGGAGAGCAACAGAACAATCAATGCTTCCACTGCTGTAATTCACAACAATTGTATGTGAGTTCTGCAACCAGAAAGACCGCCTAAAGCCTATAATAAGGACTACCGAAGCTGCAGTAACGTACAATATATCCAAGATAATTCCTATGTAACTATCCCGCCGAAAGATGGTATCACGTTCATCTGCCACTGCCATTTGGAGACCATCAGCTGGAGATATTGCTTGCATGATGGTTCTCGCGCTCCTATCCTTCCTCGCTGCCATTGACTCTACAATTTTGGTAACTGTTCTTCCGGTACGGTACTTGGGAAGTTGTTATGGCTCTGCCACAGTGTGTACTGACTGACATGTCTAGCTCATTACTCGCCAGCTACGTGGCACCACGATCTATGCATTCTGGACTGGCACCTCCTACCTCATGACTTCCGCGATTGCGCAGCCCTTCATCTCGACGATATCCGAGCGATTAGGCATCCATATGAGAATGATCTGGTTTTCTGTCAGTGCGTTTGCTGCAGGCTCAATCATCTGTGCCCTGAGCCGGGACTTCATTCCTCTGCTTGCTGGGCGATCTTTACAAGGTTTGGGCGGTGGAGGCATCATTACGCTGGTCCAAATCATATTTGCTCGACTCGTTCCTTTGAGAGAGCGACCTAAGTGGTTTTCTATTGTTCTGACCACCTGGGCCGTCGGAAGTGTTGTTGGGCCATTCCTCGGTAGTGTCTTGACAACGACCTCCACCTTTCACTGGATATTCTGGATAAATCTGCCTATCTGTGGACTAGCGCTGGTCGTCATACCGTTCACAATTCCTTCTTTTCGACCAACGGCGCAATGCTCCTGGTCAAAGGTAGACTGGGCAGGCGGAGCGATATTTTTCACAAGTTTAACCAGCGTTCTCCTTGGACTATCTTGGGGAGGGGTGACTTTTCCATGGACCAGTAAATGGACTATATCCAGCATCACACTTGGGTTTTGCGGAACGCTTCTATTCGGTATCTGGGAACATAACTTCCCAAAGTTCCCTATCTTCCAATCCTCCTTGTTCAATACAGCTTCAAGGATTGCGCTATACTTCTGTTCCTTCTTACAGGGTCTTATTGTAAGTGCAAATGCCTTACGAAAACGCCGGGAGACTGAAACATATACTAGCTATTCTGCCTCTTATACTACGTCCCGCTCTACTTTGCCTCTGCCCAGCAACGAACTCCGATGGTGTCGAGTGCCTGTGTTCTGCCCCTTTCATGTTCATTACTACCGGGAGCCGCCATCACATCGCAAGTCATCAGCCGCACAGGCGGCTATAAATGGATCCTCGTCGTAGGTTGGATTCTAACAATTCTGGGCTCGGGCCTTCTTCTCCTCTTCGAAGAGGATACCGGACCGACAGTATGGATTCTGATCCTTCTGATCATTGGAATTGGTAATGGGTGCCTTTTGAGTGCTCTAAACTATCATGTCCAGGCAACAACCGATCCAAGCAACTCTGCTTCAGGAGCCAGTATGTATACATTCTTTCGCAGCCTTGGAATGTGTGTCGGTGTGACAGTTGGGGGAAACGTGTTTCAAAATGTCATGGCACATTTTCTGTCCAAAGCAGGCGTTTCAACATCCATTGCCAAAGATGCTGAGGCTTTTATCTATGAGCTCACTCTTCTCGATAATACAGATACAATGCTGCAAAAAATATTGCACGCCTACGTTGGTGGACTTCATGGTGTATTCTATATGCTTCTGGGCGTCAGTATACTCGGTCTCATGGCAAACACTTACATTTACGTATATAGCGTTTAGTCGATATCAATAATGTACTCGTGAAGACTCGAATGAGACCAAGCGGCAGCCAGTTCTGATACAATACCTGGCACCATCCTTGTTCCATGTACACATAATTTGTACTGTCCTGTAACTGGATATACAGATCTTCCCAAAACCTGCCTACCCCCGTGCAGACATATATTGGACTTCTCCAACTGGAACCACGCTTAGCTGCAGGTCAGACATATCCAGATCGGGAATGGTCTGCTCTGTTCTACCCACGAATCAGCAACGAATACCTTACACTGCGGTATCTTCAATACAGAACGATACAAGCCTTCGTAAATCGTGGCGAGCAAGTAGATGAGCATGATACAGCGTCAAGCGGCAAGAAAAATTCGGTCACGGATCTGCGAATGTGTGTATAGTAGCACAGAGCTTTAACTTAATCTGTCGTTCCTTTGGCAAATCTCGAATTAGAAGGCTGGCTACTCATCAGACGGAAGAGATCATTGCTCCATCCTCTTCAACAGCGACGATAGATGTTCTCGACAAGCCGCTGTAGTGGGATGATGTGCTCCTAGGACTCTATCGTAGCCTGACACGGCACGCCGATAGAGATCCAAAGCCTGCTGGAAATCACCCTTGACATCAAGTAGATAGGCGAGATAGTAGACGCTCGTTAACGTGTCGGGATGATCCACCCCTAGCTCCTTGTCCCGTCCCGCTAGTGCTCTTCGATTCATCTCCTCTGCCTCCTTGTACTTCCCTCGATCTGCCAGCACCGACGCCAGATTGGCCACGCTCGTCAACGTGTTGGGATGATGCACCCCTAGCTCCTTCTCGCAACCCGACAGTACTCGTCGATTCATTTCCTCTGCCTCCTCGTACTTCCCTCGATCTGCCAGCACCGACGCCAGATTACTCACGCTCGTCAATGTCGAGGGATGATTCACCCCTAGCTCCTTCTCTCGTCCCACCAGTGCTCGTCGATTCATTTCCTCTGCCTCCTCGTACTTCCCTCGATACTGCAGCACCAACGCCAGATTACTCACGCTCGTCAATGTCGAGGGATGATTCGCCCCTAGCTCCTTCTCTCGTCCCACCAGTGCTCTTCGATTCATCTCCTCTGCCTCCTTGTACTTCCCTCGATACTGCAGCACCAACGCCAGATTATTCGCGCTCGTCAATGTCGAGGGATGATTCACCCCTAGCTCCTTCTCCCATCCCTCCAGTGCTCGTCGATTCATCTCTTCCGCCTCCTCGTACTTCCCTCGATACTGCAGCACTATCGCCAGATTGTCCACGCTCGTCAACGTATCGGGATGATTCACCCCTAGCTCCTTCTCATATCCCACCAGTGCTCGTCGATTCATCTCCTCTGCCTCCTCGTACTTCCCTCGATGTCGAAGCTCTACCGCGAGACTATCTATACTACTTAAGGTTTCAGGGTCGTCAGCTCCAAGAACCGCCTCTCGTGTCCCTAAGCTACTTCGCGCCATCCTCTCGGCCGCTCCATATCGCCCAGCTTCCGATGCATACCACGACCCCCGGTATAGAATCGTCGCCCATGTAAGTCGATGCTTCTCGCTGGCCAGCTGATATCCTGTAATCGCCTCCACGTGCGGAAACAATACTTGACATGTCGGCCAGTTCGCGTGATCTCCGGTCGGAAAAGCTTCGCCGAGAATATCAACAAATCTCTCCTGCCACCTCCCTAGCTCGCCATGCAGCTCGAGCCATTTCTTCGTCGAAAATTGTACCAGCCGGTGCATATCGAACGAGTTTTCACTCACGGCAGGGCTAATCAAATGGTACGCTCGTAACGTCGTAATGTCCTCTTCAAAGTCAATATGCCCACCTCTATCTTCGACATACTGTCCACGAAGAAGGTGGTCTGGAATCGCTTCGCGATCGAAGAGACTCATGAGCGACAGCAGTCGCGCCGCCGAGTCCCGTGTCTGCCGGATATATTCGAACGAGATGTGCCACGTTGTGATGATCGAGCTCGATGCCCGTCCGTCTCGCCGGGGATCGCGAATGTCCAGCTGGAGGAGTTGAGCTCGCTCATCGTCACTCCTCGTCAATGTCTCGAGGTACGTAGATAGGGTGATGCGTGGCGCACGTTGATTAATGTAGGCAGCGGCTTGGGTGATAGCCAATGGCATATAATCCAATTGCTGGACGAGGTCATCCAAACTGCTCTGCGCCGTGTCTGCGCCGTGACCCTTGAGCTTCTTCCTGAGAAGCGTCACTGCCGTGTCTCCGTCCATCGGTCTCACCTCGAGAATGTCATCTTCGTATTCAATCAGTCCTTCCACGACTTGTCGACTGCGTGACGTGATTATGATCGATCCATTAGCTGACGTGGGGAGATAGGCGGAGAGCGAATGCGCAACAAATGATGTAGGCGCTCTTTGTGGTCCGTGTCCACCCGTCCCGCCATCCCACGGCTCGAACATTACCTCAGAGCTGTCCGCATTGTCCATCACCATCGTCCATCGCCCGTTGTTTTCATCCGACAACCATCCATGGACCATGCCCAGAATGTCGGCTTTCGGCTCGTGCCACCCCGCCAACTGCACCCGCTCAGCTATCGCTTTGTAGCTATCCGCAAATCGAGCCGCGCTACTCGCATGCGCCCAGAAGACCCATCTGTCTGGATCCTGTTCGCGAGTGCGGTAGGCACACTCGATGGCAAGCTGTGACTTCCTGGTCTACACTTCAGCTCATGCGCGCGGTCGGCACATCCAGACTCTTACCCAACGCCTCCCAGTCCCACTAGTCCAATACGTGCCGCCGGTTCGAAGGCCCGTTGCCAGATGTCGTTAAGGACGCCGCGCTCCACGAAATCGCGATCGCGGCGGAAGGGGATGATGGCCGATGGGGGAGGAGGCGGTCGTGGTGGTGGTGAGGCTAGTACTCGTCTCAGTCACTGGCATTCATCTTAGGGAACACTCTCACTCAATCCCGCCGCATAAAAGTGGTTAGTTTGTTGACCGAAGAAGGCGCCTTGTTGAAGACCACTGTTTGTCGTTCCTTCGAATGTGGTGTTAAAGGCCTGTACCGGTTGTTGAGCCATGTGGAATGACAGCCCAACACTGGAAGGACAGCTCTTCCAACATTATTCTGAATTACATGAATAGCATGAGATTTTGCATTGAGCCTGCGATGGGCGATGGCCTGTTGATGTGCTTGTGGTTCATATGAAGACTATTAGAATGCAGGGGCAACATCCCCTTACTAGACTGTCCTGTAGTGATCTATCACCTCAATTGAGTGGATTCCAGAGCCGCCCAGGAGCGCCAACCCTCGAAGATTGCCGCCGTGCGATCACGAGTGCGAAGCTCTTATTTATTTTCAGCTGAAACGCGCATCTTAATATGTCATTGGTCGAAACAATGCGCCGGCGGAATTATCGGCCGACGCTCACGTGAAACTTCCGTTGTCTCCCCTCCACACGCACTCGATCTTTCGATTTTGCCTCTTTCGCGGACGCCTCGATAAACCGATCTTCCTCTTTAGATCCCAAGTTGGGAATTTATAGATATCAGAAAACGGGAGAAAGCTAAGATGGCTGAGGCCGCTGGACTCGCCTTCGGCATCTTGGGCGCCTTCAATGATGCCATCCAGTGTTTTGAATATGTCCAACTAGCCCGCAACTTCGACCAAGACTTCCAGACGGCCATTCTCAAGCTCGACATTGCAAAGCTCCGACTCTCTCGATGGGGTCAATCAGTGGGACTAGATCAGGTCGTGGAAGGCACGCAATCTCTCCCAGGCGTGTCTGGATCTGCCGATGATCATGAGAAAGCCAAAGAATTGCTCGACCAGATTGTGGGACTGTTCGAGGATGCCGAACGCACGTCGGCCAAGTTGAAACCTCTGGGGAGTGATACCAAGGTGTATGACACCAACCATGATTTGGATGAGGCTACAACGTCGCTCCACAAGAGGCTGGAGATGCTCTCACTCAAGCGGTTCAAGCCAGGGAATATATTGAAGAAGGCGAAATGGGCTCTGCACAAGGAGAAATACTTCAACCGCTTGATCCAGGATACGACCGAACTGGTCAGCGGGTTGATTGAGCTTTTCCCCGCGGCCCAGCCCAAACAGAAACATCTATGCGAGGAGGACGGGTCTGAATTAGCATCGGACCAGAACGCGTCGCTCATCGCGCCCATCGTCGCTGAACAAGATCCTGAGCTCAGTGCTGCCATCAAATCTCAGCATTCCGCGGGAGCACAAAACTTTAACATCACCTTTGCTGGGAGTCATAACTATGGCCTTCAGCAAGGCTACTTCTCAGGCCAACAGACCAACAATTTTGGAGCTCAACGTTCTTGAGGGACAGTCTCCACACGTTGTGCGTGTCTGGGGACCATGGCAGGGCTTCACGGTCGACTGGTCTAGTGTAAATTGACAGGTTTAATCACGTATGCGCCGTGGGATAAAAAACAGAACCGTATCTATTCTGGTGGAATATTGAGCAAAAACTTAGAGTGTGAGATGGCCTGTCGACCAGACAGCATTGACCCACCCAGCTCGCTCGCAGGTTCCCCGCACGGTGGGCAGATGTCGAGCTCCTTGGCAAGTCGTTCATTTGAGCTGAGGAGGGTTTCGGAGGCCCATCCTTTACTGTCTCAGGCGATCCAGCTTTTATGCGCTGTCCTTCTTCCAATGCGATCACTTTGCCACCGCTATTACTGCTCCAGCAATCACGTTGCTTTGAGCCAGCCCTACTGTAACTCCCAACAGAATAATGGGCAACGGTGGTTGTGCGGTTGAACGCCAGTCCACATGAAGCCCACTGTCTCCGCAATACACTTCGCAGACACGAGCAACTATGGGGCTCAAATTGGCGAGAACCAAGGCACAATCACGAATTATTTCGGTGCCGGTAGGAGATGCCCATCTCCGAGTTGACAATATTCACTGAGAACTTCTGCTTTCCAGCCTCACCGCCTCCACGCCCGCCTCCTCCCCCGTCAGCTAGCATCCCTTTCCGCCGCGATCGCGATTGCGATTTCGTCGAACGTGACGTCCTTAACGATCTCTGGCAACGGGCCTCCGAGCCGGCGGCACGAATTGGGCTCGTCGGTCTCGGTGGAGTCGGGTAAGAGCCTGTGAGTTGACATGTCACTACGAGGCTGATACGGCGCCCAGAAAGACGCAGCTAGCGATTGAATATGCCTACCGCGTTCGAAATGAGTACCCCGACAGGTGGGTATTCTGGGTGCATGCGAACAGTGCGGCCCGATTCGAGGAGAGCTACAAAAAGATTGCGGAGCGGGTGCAGTTAGCAGGATGGAACGAGCCGAAAACGGATATTCTGGGGATGGTGTATACATGGCTCTCTAACGAGGACAACGGGCGATGGGTGATGGTGATAGACAACGCGGACAGCCCTGATGTGATGTTCGAGCCGCGGGACTGTGCAGGTCGTACGCCCGGACAACCGATAACGGCCTTGTCTTCCACCAGTCATTCCTTGTCAGACTATCTCCCCTCGTCAGCGAATGGGTCGATTGTGATCACATCCCGCAGCCGAGAAGTCACCACGGGACTGGTCGAGTACGAGGAGGATATCCTGGATGTGTCACCAATGGCTGAGGCGGAGGCGGTTACTCTCCTTACAAGGAAGCTCAAGAGACAGGACGTAAACACCATCTCCCACGGAGACTTGAGACGTCTCGTGCGACGGTTGGACTACATCCCGCTAGCCATTACCCAAGCAGCTGGTTATATCAATCAACGGGCTCCGCGCATGACGGTGTCTAAATATCTGGAGATTTTAGAGGGCGGCGACCAGGAACGAAGTAAGCTCCTACTGACGGATATTCGAGACCCGCGACGAGACGGTCAGGCGTCGAATTCGGTCATTGCGACATGGCATATCTCATTCGACCATCTATGGCATAGCCGACATTCAGCGGCGCGACTTCTCTCGCTCATGAGTCTGTTCGACCGTGAAGGCATTCCTGATTATCTCCTCCAAGATCGGTATCTCGACGACCAGTCGGAGGAGGCGGATTTTGAAGAGGATATCGCGACATTGACGGCATACAGCTTAATTGGCGTCGGCTCAACGAGCAACGTCTTTGAGATGCACCGACTGGTGCAGTTTTCGACGAAGACGTGGCTCGAAGTTCGTAACGAGTTGACTCCATGGCAGGAGCGATATGTTGACATTCTCGGGGCGGTATTCCCCACCGGGGACTTCGCCAACTGGCCGACATGCCAGATCCTATTCCCACACGTCGAAGCTACGAACGGATATCAACTGACGAGCAAGGAGCATCTTCTCATGTGGGCGACCATTCAACACCGGGGGGCATGGTATGAACTGGAAGTCGGGCGGTATGGAGTGGCGGAGAAAATGGTGCGAAGTAGCTTTATGGCTCGAGAGGCGATTTTAGGCTCAGTGACGCTCGAACGTTAGAAAGCCTAGACTATACGGCAAAGGTGCTACGGTACCGAGGGAAGTATAAGGAGGCAGAGGAGATAAATCGACGAGCTCTAGTGGGATATGAGAAGGAGCTGGGCGAGAATCATCCCGATACGTTGATGAGCGTGAGCAATCTGGCGTCGGTGCTGCAAGATCGAGGGAAGTACGAGGAGGCAGAGGCGATGAATCGACGAGCACTAGCGGGCAGCGAGAAGGAGCTGGGCGAGAATCATCCCGATACGTTGATGAGCGTGA